AGATTTTTTGGGCGAATAAAAGCTCAACTCAGCTAAAACCAAAAAAAGCTCGAATCATTTTTACTCGAACCGAACCCGAGCTTTGAGTTTTGGCTTGCGAGCCGGCTCGATTCGTTGACATCCCTACCTTTTGCCCCCAAGATTTAAATTTGTCCCCACAACTCTACAATCTTGGTTCCACCCCTGATTACAATAGAGTGCTAGCCAAGGTACGAGTTGGTACTATTGTACAATTTAGTATGTGATAATTGATAGAATTAAATGATACAATACATAAGATTTTAAATACTATTTTTTAAATAATACAAGTATTATCAAATATATCATACCAAACATGCCAATTGTCATGTGAAACTCTCTCTGGATTATCTAACCGTTAATCTATCCACATTAATCCAATCCACCTAAACAAAGCGCAACGTTGATTGAAACGTGCTTTGGTGGATGCATCTCTTGGACATTGGTGGTGCATCGAAGGCATGGCACAAGCGGTACTCGACATGCAATACAGCCTAGCAAAAACGTAGCATGTTGACTCGAATTAAGACAAGGCAACACATGGATAGGTATAGCAAAATTACTCGTTCCGTCCCGTTTAGCAGTTGAGGTAGGGATGAAAACATAGTTCCCGCTCCGATTATTATTTTATTTTATATTTTACAATTTAAATCGCATTTTAGAAAATAAAAAAATAAGTAAAAGTGAATTTTATTAACCCTTGACTCTAAAAAATTTCCGATTTTACGTGGACAGGAAGGGCCACCTTGCCCAGTTGCCTTCCTACATATGGACGGACGGACTTTTAACTAGCTGACTTAGTTCCATTGGAGGGGTTACAACTTACATGTTTTAGACATAAGAAGCAAAATACAACATGGAGTTGGTGTTCAAGCATGCTAAGTGATTATAAGGAACATTTAGCGGTTTTCAGCAAGTTTTGCTGGGAAATTTTGGACGGGTTAATAACATCAATGGTCACTGAAATTATTTTCTTACAATAATATTTACTCAATTTTTTATCGATTACATGAATGATCACTCGGTACGTAAAAAACATTATGTGGGTACTAGGTACTACTATGTCGCAAAATGACGCTATATATTTGTTACACAATTCAGCAAAAATCATTATTAAAAAAAAATCATTCTTAAAAAATCAACGTTAGATGATTATCGAAAAAGTTTGTTTACCTTTATTTTAAGAGTAATGTTATTTGTAATCGTTCATTACGACAGTTGTCATACGTTGCATGTACATGACATGTGGTTATCTGATGTAACTGCGTATCATGTTTATATACGACTACTGTACAAATAATTGCAAATAACATTATCCTATTCTTATTTTCAAGCTTCCTTGTTTTGACTATTGACTATGGCCCCAACTAAAACTTTAAATACGGAGACAAATCCGTGACATCAGACTCATTGAACGACTTTTTTGGATTGAAACCTGAATGGTGCAGAATAGAAATTACTGCTTTTATCTTTCTTTTGTGGATTTGGTTCTGGTTTCTTTTGACGTCTGTTCAACTTTGGACCAAGAATCGTGACTTCACTGAATTAATCAAGTGGCCACATGATGTTTTGGCTTCAAGATATAGCCCTTGTTGTCACCCATTTATGACAGATTTTTTGTAATATGATAATTTGTGGTTGAAAATAAATTTTAAAGAATATGTACCAAACAAGAACTTAATTTATAATTATAATCGAGACATGGGTACAAATTGGTACTATTGTATACAGTTTAGTACGTAATATAAGATCTTAGCTACTATTTATTTGAAATAATATAAGTTTGATGTGCCAATTATCTAACCGTTAGTCTACGCACATTGATGTACCCGAACAAAACCGCAACATTGATAGAAATGCGCTTCGGTGGATGCATTTCATGGACATTGAAAATATGTGATTGTGTGGATAAGAATTGGTTTCGTGGTGCATTGATAAAGGCATGGCACAAGTGGTACTCGACATGCAATGCATCCCACAGAAATATTGTCTGACTACAATATTTGACTAATATTTGTAAAGTTGCACAAAAAACTATAAAAGAAAAGAAAGATGTCCAGTAAATGATGATATTTTTTACTATACTCATGATGGCTTGGAGGAACAGTAAATTGGTGGCGACAAAGTTGGAGTTTCCGCACATAAAAACTGCGTTGTTTGAGGGATTAGGAATTTAGAAAGGTGTCTGGAGGTGTTTGGAACTTTCAGGGTTTGAATTTGAAATAATGCATTGAAGTGATGTTTAAACACACATTTTGAATACAATTAAGCCCTTGTTTGGCCCCCATTATTTGGCATTTTTGATAGTTGAAAATTTTTGGAATAGTGATTGATGGGAGAATGTGTGGTGGAAAAGTAATGAAAAGTTTTAGATTTGTGTGTAATATTATTTTATTTGATGAATGTGTGGTTGTAACGAAGAAAGAGAAAAATTTAATATAATGTAATTTAATTTAATGGGGGTTAAACAGAGGTTTAATGTGTACCAAACATGGGCTTATTATAAAATTGTTAATAGATAAAGATCTCATTCCCTTCTCCTTGATCTTTTCAAGCATTTTATTAAAATTTGCCAAATACAAAAGAAGAT